TTATAAAATATGGAACAAATTTTTGAAACAATAGTACAAGTAATACGAAAAAAATTATTAATAACAGCAATAATATTAAGTAATAAAAACATTGTAAAAAAGAAATATAAGAAGAGATTCTGGATAAACAATTTTTTAAAAGAAAGATATCAAAAAGGGGCATATTATGTTACATTTCCTATAATGGTGAAAGATAATAATTTATTTATGAATTATTGCCGAATGAGTAAAACACAATTTGAATAGTTACTTATACTAATTGCTCCAAAAATTCAAAAGAATCTAGTTTGTCGAGAACTAATTTCACCAAAAGAACGTTTGCTGTTAACACTGAGGTAAGAAACGTTTTAAAAAATTATTTTAATAAGTATTAAAAAGTGGGATTAAAAAAATAAGAGTGATATGTTTGTACGTAGTAGTAGTGGTGGAGCAGGTGGGCACTTTGATGCCCTTGCGTCACCTAGATCTAAAAGTTCCATTGTGACTCCCTGCTATTTTTTAGGATTGCGCTAATAAGCCCAGCCTAGTATCTGATGCCAGGTTAATCAAGCTACTAACCCTTTTTTTGTTTAGATCCTCAGGCTCCATGAACATGCAGCCCCAGGATCTATACCTTTTACATATGAGTACAGGACACCTACATAAAATGTAGGCGCTGTCCTTTCTCTCCTCACCACATAGGCGGCAGTCGCTTTGTTCCGTAAGCCCAAGTTTGTTTAGATGGCTCCTCAGTGTGATGTGTCCCGTGAGAAGACCCAATCCCACCTTCAGCCTTAGTCTGTTCATGGCCAGGAGCTCGTCGGCTCTCCCCGGCGATGGTTGCTCCATTAGCCGTTTAGCTGTCCGGCAGCCCCCCACCGCTCTCCAGGAGCCAACGTGCTCCCGCTCAAGCCATCCTCTGATAATGTTGATTCCCGTTACAAAAGGTACTCCAACGATCTGCGTGGCTGGGTCCATTTGGGTCCCCAGCTTGGCCAACTCGTCGGCTATCTTGTTCCCGAGAAATCCCTGATGTCCTGGGATCCATACTAGAGTTATCTTGTTCGATTCCCCCAATCTAGCTAATGCCTGCATGCAGTCCCAGACTACAGCCGATTCTGTAGTGGTCTTTGCAAGGGCATGTATGGCCGCTCTGCTATCAGAGCATATGTAAAAGTGCTGGTTTGCATTATCGTTTACAGCAAGGGTTTCCACACACCTCAGGATGGCCATCACTTCGGCTTGAAAGACCGTGGCCAGCCCGCCCAGAGGTATGCTTTCTCTATGGTTTCTTTTCAGCCCATAGATTCCTACCCCATACCGACCATTTGCATCCGATCCGTCTGTGAACCAAAGATCCACTTTTGGATCAGCTAGTAATTTAGACTTGTTCCAGTCGTCCCTAGTTGGTATTAAAACTTTAAATTTCTTCCCCAACTGATGTTTTCTTGGAATTCTATCCTGTTTTAACATGAAGGGGTACTTCTGAGATAGTCCCAGTCTAGTGTGTCCTAGACCGGTATCTTTCCATTCCCCCTGACATCTAAGTCTATAAGCCGTTCTCCTGGCTTGGTATTTTCAGCTGACCGAGAGGTGGGCAGCAGAGAGCTACTTCCAACGCCTCCGTCGGGGTGGTTCTCATGGTCCCTGTCACAGCCCTCAGATAACTACCCTGTAGGCTTTTTAACAGGTTCCTGGGCCCCATCCTCTCCATTCTCGGCCACCATACTACCGCTGTATAGGTTAGTCTTGGCAACAACACCGTCCTATACAGCCAAAGGGCAGCCCTGGGTTGAAGCCCCCAGTTTCTACCCATTACTCTTCTACAAGCCCACATGGTGGTATAGAACTTTCTTCTCTTCTCCTCGAGGTTTGGCAGCCAGCTCAGTTTAGCATCCAGGATCACTCCAAGATACTTCACCGAGCTTGTGTATGTTATTTCCCTACCCCAGAGCTTTAGTGGCTCTATGTGTTCGGGTTTGTACTTCCTGGTGAAGACCACTGTCGAGGTCTTAGATGGGTTGACCGACAGTCCCTTCTTTCTGCATCAGGTTTGAACTATCCTCAAGGCTGCGTCCATCCTCTCCTTGAGGATCGATATGAAATTTCCTCTGACAATGATGGCCACGTCATCCGCGTAGCCATATACCAGGAATCCTGCTTCTTTTAATTCAGCCAGAAGGTCATCGACCACTAGACACCACAGCAGGGGAGAGATTACGCCCCCCTGCGGGCAGCCCCCAGCCGGACTCCCCCCAACTGAATTTTCACCCAGGCTTACGGTTAGACTTCTGCCCGTTAGCATGCTTTGTGTCCAGTCCACGATCGCCTCTGGGATCTTGTTTCTGTACATTGCCTCTTTGATAGACTTGTTAGAGGTGCTATCAAAAGCTCCCTCTATGTCTATAAAGACTCATATGGCGTACCCCTTGACTTCCAGCTGTCCCTCCACTCCGCTCACAAGGTGATGTAGGGCAGTTTCGGTCGACCTGCCCTCCATATAAGCGTATTGAGTTGTGGTCAGTGGGCAAGAGACCAAGGGTCCTGTCTTCAGGTATCTGTCTACCAGCCTCTCCACTGTTTTCAAAATGAATGATGTAAGGCTGATCGGCCTGTAATCCTTGGCCAAGATATGACCGTTTCTGCCTGGTTTAGGGATAAAGACTACCCTCGTCTCCCTCCAGGTTTGTGGTACATATCTCAGGGCTATACTAGCCCTGAGTACTTTTGTTAGTGGACCCGTCAGCAACTCCAGTCCCCCCCTCAGGAGTGCCGGGTAAATGCCGTCCGGTCCTGGTACCTTATAAGGCTCAAAGGTCTCTATTGCCCATTTGACCCCGCTCGGTTGTACGATTCTGGCCGCGAGGGACCACACTTTGGTCACACGAGGTTCTCTTGATTGATCCTCGTCTCTGTTGCCCCGAATCGTGACATCATCTCTGAATTCCGGAAAGTGAGTGGACATCAAGTGTCTCAGTGTCTCCTCCGTTGATTCAGTGTATCTTCCATCCGGGAGCTTAAGACATCCCAGCTGAGGTGAATTGTCTTTGCTGAGGATTTTGTTGAGTCTGGATATCTCCGGAGAACTTTCAACGTTCCCGCAGAACTCCCTCCAGCTCCTCCTCTTTGACATTGTGATTTCTTTGCTATAGCGTCGTTGGGAGCTCCTGAAAGCTGCCCAATCAGTTTCCGCTTTTAGCTTTTTTGCTCTATTGAAAAGCCTTCTTGTCTCAACCCTGAGCTTAATAAGCTCATTATTCCACCATGGGACCTTGGTTGAGACTTGTTTTCGCCTTAGTGGGCAGTTTACTTCATAGGCCTCTATGATGGCGTCGCTGACAAACTGCGACGCCACTTCTAGATACTATTTTGTATTAAATCTGGACGGGGCTTTCTTCAGAATAGTGCCAAGGTCCTTCCTATAGCTTGTCCAGTTTGTGTTTCTGGGGTTGCGACCCCATTTCCCCTTTTCCCTGTGCTCGAGCGCAAAACGTAGCTGCCTGTGATTCGATCCCGAAGGTTCATTTGAAACCCTCCAGTCTCTCACCAGGTCAGCCATTCCCCACGTACACAGGGTTAGGTCTATAACCTCACGTCTTCTGCAGTCCATGAAGGTGGGTTCCATTCCTCTGTTTAGGATGATTAGCTTGTTGTCCATGACGAATTCATGTAGGCTTTCCCTTCTCGGGTTGATGCCCGTGCTCCCCCATCCCACATGGTGGAAGTTTGCATCGCAACCCAGGAGTACCTCCAGCCCTCTCTCCTCCGTATATTTCATCAGCTCCTTGATTTCCCTCAGTGGTGGAAGGTCTTTAACGTCATAGGACATGTAGACCGACCCTATTAATACATCCCTGTGGGTCCCTTCGTCCAGATTAAGCCTCACTTGTACCACCGTGATGTCCTCATTACTGAACTGCGGCATAAAGATTGCATTTAGATCTTTTATCACTATACATGTCCTTATTTTTCCCTGAGTGGTGGACGAGATAATCTTGCCACTACCGCCTAGGCATTTTACAGCGTTGTTCAAGAGCCATAATTCTTGCACAAGTGCTATTGCTGTCTGCATCACAGCCATGCCCCTAGCTAAAATCGTTGAGGCGCCTTTGCTGTGATGCAAGTTAATCTGCACCACTGGAACTTTGAGACCTGTCATTTCTATGCAAACTCTTTCGTTCCAGCGGCTTCCTCCTCCCTTCCGCGTTCCTTGCCAGTCAACCTTACAGTCGCCCGGCCCACCCCGCAGAAGGGTTTCATTCCGCAGTCCTTTAGGGCCTTCAGAGAGGAGTCGCCGACAAGAACAGCGAAGTGGGCGCTTTCGGCGTTCCTGCTCTCACTCCCCCTGACGACAACCCACTCGCTGGCTGCCAGTTCTGCGTTTTGTCTGTCAAGGAGTTCTACCGCCTCCTTGACAGTCAAATCCGGCTCCTCTAGGTGTACTACCAGCCTGTGGCGCTTCGGAAGCTCCCCAAGCGGCAGCACACGTAGCTCATTCTCCCCTAGTTTTAACTCCGAGGATAGGCTTTTCAGCCAGTCCGCGGATTCTACATCGGCGCAACCGCAAATGATTGCCCCGTCTCTCTCCCAAACTCCGGTAGAGAGGGGAGCTCTGATGCCTCTTGGAAGTCCCAGGATCCTTCCCCTGATCAGCTTTTTAATAATGGCTATTTTCCCGAGTTTGATCTTGTTTTCAGGGTAACCCTCAATAATGAGTGCCACCCTGACTATTCCTTCAGTCGCCTGTGCAAAGGACCCTTGGTCACTGACCTTGGGCTCCTTGACCAGGCGTTTTTCTGAGGGGCTGGGGGTCGCGAGATCCGGTGTTTTTGCGTCCCTGATGGATCCGCCTCCCCCCGAGCTCCTGTTACGCCTCCAGAGGCAGCACCCGATTCAGAGGTCTCTTCAGCCCTCTCCCTCGCCCGCTGTCTCTTCAGCTTTCTTCTCGTAGCCCCACTCATTTTCGGGCGTGGCTCTGCGAGTTTCCTTGCCGCGGAATCGGACCGAGCATCGGTACTCGATCCCGCGTCGCTTCCTCCTTCTCTAGGTTCACTTCCTAAAGAAGCCACCCCTTGGAAAGGGTCATCTATTTTTTTGCTTTTGTTTGTACTTGTGTCCATACTTGTTCCCACGAGTACCGCGATCGCGCGATCTCACCCAGGCAGAGCCGCGATTGTCCGGGGCTCGGCAGCGTACTCCCGGAGGTCGCCCGGTATCCGGGAGGCATCGTTCATGACACAGCTCCCCCTGTGTCACGCAGCCCTCAGCACGGTTGCTAACACCTTGGCTTAGGGGGTTCCTCTTAGATGACTGCGGCCGGGAAACATTCCTGAGCGAATGCCCCGACCGCAGCCACAGCCTTACCACCAACGACAAGGTGGGAATCCATGCGGGGGGTGTTTGTACGTAACTTGATTTATTTTTTATAATATATTGACAAGATTATTATAGGAACTATATTTATATACATATTTATATTGATTACATTGTTTTATAGATATTTAGCATGTGGCGATTCGATGATGACAATGAAGTATTAATATTATATTGCACAATCAACAATATCAAATATTATTGCAGAAACTTGCAATGTATTTTGAAATATTTTAATGCCAATTGTATTGAAAGTACCTACATATGAAAACTGGAAACATATTGCTGCTAATTTTGAAATAAAATGTAACTTTCCACATTGTTTGGGTGCTATGGGATGGTAAACATGTTATTGTGCAAGTAACTTATAATATTTATAAATTATGTAATTTATGAGTATTTCATTAACTTTTATAATATCTTGTTATATTTATTTTTCAAAAAAAATATACTTTAGAGAAATATTTTAGGCACCACCAAATTCTGGTTCTACGTATTATAATTATAAAAACTCTCACAGTATAGTGTTAATGGCTATCTGTGATAGTAAAAATTTATTTTGATCGATATTGATGCGGAAGGTCGACAAAGTGACGGAGATATCTGGTCGAGATCTATTAATCATTTTTAAGAGGTGATGTAGATATACCACTTCCAAATCATGTTGCGGAGGGACCTATTCTTCCATATGTTTTCGTGGCAGATGAAGCTTTTCAGCTTACAAAATTTATGATGCGGCCATTCTCTGGAAAAGGAGGTTTAACAAGAGAAAAACAAATTTATAATTATAGACACAGTAAAGCACGTCATATAGTAGAATGTACTTTTGGAATTCTCAGTTTCAAATGGAGAATTTATAAACGACCCATTAATACTTCAATTGAAACAGCAGAAAGTATAGTGAAAGCAAAAATTGTTTTGCATAATTTTCTACGCGAAGATGATTGTTCATCTTGTACCTGTACTACTGATACAAATAAAAATGGAACAGCATGTTGTGAGATTACAGCGGCAACATTCAGAGATATAAATAATATTGGTACAAATACATGAGAAGCATGTGAAATACGTAATACCTTTATGAATTATTTTTAATGAAGGTTTAATTCCATGGCAAGAAACTATGTTGAACTGTTAATATTTTTTGCATAAAACTATTGGTTAGTAACAACAGTAATATATTATTACATATATAAAAAATACAACATAATGTAAATATTTTTCAATATTGGTATATATTTTATGAAACAACTTTATTACAATATTGTATAATTATAAAGTTATAAAATAAATTTATATCTGAAATAAACTATATTCATTATATCTAAAACTTTTAATCTTGTCTTTAAAATTTTATACCTTTAATTCTATATTTTAAATAAAACAACACATTACATATTATCACATAGCATTAGCAACAAAGTTCAAACGAAATATCCCAATGAAAAATTTTTCATATATAATTATATAAAATTATATAAAATTATATATAATTATACATAATTATATATTATTATGTATCAAATTTGTCCATTCATGTTCATACATTCTACTTATATATATAATTATATATAATTATGTATAATTATATATATAAATTCATATATAATTTTACATAATTACGCATAGCTTTATATGTAATTATACATATTGTTATACATAATTGTGTATAATTATATATAATTTTATATGATTATATATAATTATATATAATTATGTATGGACAAATTTCATACATAATTTTGCATGAAAAATTTTTCATCGGGATATTACGTATTTATAACGATTTACGCATTATAACGATATAAAAAATTGAAATAACTGAAAAAGGAACGACTTTTCTTATAAATACTACTAACTTGTTAATAAAATTAAATTTTTATATATGCAGGATGTCTGATAATTCATGACAATTTATATATATATATATATATATATATATATATATATATATATAATATAAGGTGTAGTAAAAAGAAATCCACTATTTTTCCAATAGATAGCTTTAGTAATGTGTATCTCGCGTTGTATAAGTGCGATCGGTTTACACTAGATGGCGTTAGAAAGATAAGATTTCGTACTAAAAAAACTTCTCAGACAGTTTTGTGATTGTTTGACTCAGTATTGTTTGAGCGCGCGTCAAAGATGGACACCAGCAAAGAGAAAATACGCCATATTTTACAGTTTTTTTTCGATAAAGGCGAAAACGCAAGCCAGGCGGCTAAAAATGTGAATAGTGTTTATGGTCCTGATACTGTAACAGCCAATCACGCGCAATTTTGGTTTCGTCGATTCCGTTCCGGTAATTTTGATGTCAAAGATGCACCACGCTCTGGAAGGCCAATTGTCGAAAATGTCGATAAAATAATGGAAATCGTCGAGTCCGACCGTCATGTAAGCACTGTTTCGATTGCTCAAGAGCTAAGCATTGCACAAAAAAACCGTTTGGAACCACTTGAATAAGTCTGGATAGAAAAAGAAGCTCGATGTATGGGTGCCACGAATTAACGCAAAAAAACCTCATGGACCGAATTTCCATCTGCGAATCGCTGCTGAATCGCAACAAAATCGACCCATTTCTGCAGCGGATAATGACTGGTGATGAAAAGTGGGTCACTTACGACAAGCGAAAACGGTCGTGGTCGAAACGCGGTGAGCCGGCGCAAACGGTGGCCAAGCCAGGATTGACGGTCAGGAAGGCTTTGCTATGTGTTTGGTGGGATTGGCAGGGAATCATCCACTATGAGCTGCTCCCCTACAGCCAAACTCTTAATTCGGACCTGTACTGTCAACAATTGGACCATCTGAAGGAATCAATCGCCTAGAAGCGGCCAGCTTTGGCCAATAGGGGAGGAATTGTGTTCCATCAGGAACGCCAGGCCACACACATCGATAGTGACTCGCCAGAAGCTCCGGGAGCTTGGTTGGGAGATTCTTATGCATCCACCTTATAGTCCGGACCTGGCACCAAGTGATTACCATCTCTTCCTGTCTATGGCGAATGATTTTGCTGGTGAAAAATTCGCCTCAAGAGAAGCTTGTGAAAATTGACTGTCCCAGTTTTTTGCCAATAGGGACAAGGGTTTCTATGAGAGAGGCATAATGGAATTACAAAAAATCGAATATTAATATTTTCGATAATTTTAAAAGTATTTCGATAAAATCGAATATGAATATGTTACGTCCTGCGATTTATCTTTTTGGTGCTAACCCGGTATCGTGAATTTTATTATTTTAGTCGCGGGTTTAGTTAGTTTCGCGAGGACGCGTTTCAACGTGAGCGGCTACGTTGAAACTATTAGCAGGCTGAAAGGCCGAATACAATTGTTAGCGGGATCTCGGGATACGCGACTCTTTATTCTACTTCCACGGGAAGGTCAGGAATCGATGAAGAATAATCAGGAGGTGATTTGGAGTACGAAAATATAGGGGAATTTATTAATAAGAAAGTGCACGATATTAAAAACGCACGACGATAAGCGCGGGGTAATAATATTATTTGTCGCCAGGTTCCCTCTGTGATGCAGAAGATTTCAAAGCGCTGGTTGCGGTTGGAGAAGAGTATTGCCCTAGTGTGGTAGAATCTGGTTTAACTATTTTACACTCGCGAGACTCGTATAAGAGGTTTGGAAAATGAGGAGTTAGAGATCGGAAACGTGGGTCTAGTAACGTCGTCGATGAGCAAGTAGCTCGGGAAATAGGGAAGCGGAATGAACGAGGGCGTAGGACTAGTAACGCCTTCGTGGGAAAGTGATATAGATAGGGAGTTATTGTGTTGATGATCGG